GGTGCTGGCAATACCCTTGTTTCCACTGCTGTGTACCTGGGGCACATTGTAGGGGTTTTTTTGTTTGTTTGTTCTTTTTTTTTTTTTATAAGGTGCTTAGGACTGCAATAAGCAAAAAGGGAAAGAAGATGTTCTTGTGGACCCTTTTTGGGTGCAAATGGGGATTGTTTGCCTTTAAATGTAAGAGTTTGAATGTAATGGCCCAGAAGGTCATTCCAATCCACTCTTTCTAGGTATCACTCACTGCTTTTTTTTTATATGGCATGACAATGACCTCACTATAATGTTAACTCAATCTGTTCTATTGTAGATTAACACTAGGGATTTATTTAATTTATTTTCTTTGCCACGGTGAATTTTAATTTTGTTCCCCCTTCTCAAAAATAAACTTTGAATTCTTCTGACTCTTTTAGCATTAGAAACTTACTCCCATTTTGCTATGAAATTCTTTTCCAAAGCACCTGCTTTTTATTACTCTACAACTCTACAAAGTTTTATATTACTCTACAATGAGTGAAACTTCAAACCCTTTTTTTTTTAATCAATTTCTGGTCTTTCCATTGCAAATTTTGCCTGTTTTTAAGATTAAGCATTACTAAATAAGGGAGCACAAAAGAAAAGATAAAAAACAGGGTTTGTTAAATATAGGATTAGCTTCCTGCAAAATGTTTATATTTTTAGGACTACTGGCTCCAAGATAATTTTATAAAGCAATTCTTCATATCATTCATTACTTTGAAGAGACAACTATATGCAGAAAATATGGAAACAAACTTATGTGACATTTTTATCCTAATTGCTTAGAAAAAAAATCTGATTATAAATTTTGCTTAGCATAATGAAAAAATCACTAGTGACAGTATTCAAAACATCCTTGACCCCATAAAGTTAATAACTGGCAGAATATATTTTGTATCACAAGCTATTCATACGTAATCTGTGACACTAAAGAAATCTTTCTTTAGTTAATTATTTATCATGCTGCAATGAATTATCAGAAGAGATAATTAAGGAGAAATTATAACAGACACATAAAATGAATTAATAGGACCAAAGTGTACGGACTGCTCACCACACCCAAAAATAGCTAACTGCCCAAGGAAGTCATAGAAGACATCTGTATGAAATACTTGCTTCAAAACAGTTGGGAAAGGGCTGATAAGTCAAGCAAAGTACATACAAATCTCATAGCGCCATTTCATTTTCAATCTTAAACTCTCCTTCTTCCCCTCCCCCTAGGATGTCCAAGTCAGTCAATGACAATTTGCTTCTATTGATTTGCTAGTGTAAGAGGGAGAAAATGTAAAAGATAGTATGGTAAGGAATACTTCACAAATTCTGTGATATGGGGCTGTACTTTGTAGAACGGCATGCAGAACTGGGTCCTATCTGTCATAACCCAATGATTTTTAGTGCCTCGGCACATTGGATTTTTCCCGCCACATGGAGCTTTCTTTGCACGGTGGATTTCTCAGCTGCAGAGAGAAATCCCCGGTGCAAAGAGTTCCCACCACACACATGCAAATTCGTACCCCATTATTGGCTGATTCTAAATTATTCCTACGTGGCGGCTAGCAACTGGCTCACTAGCTGTATAAAAGGTTAGAGCAGTTTCTGCCCAAGTTGGAGGACTCCACAACCACCTCGTGGAGAACTCTGAGCGCGCTGTGGAGCCTAGCAAACTCCGCGTGTGTCTTGGAGGAGGACAGAGAGGCCTGATCAGCTCTTAGCCACTCCCCGTCATAGTGTAATTTGACGTATCCCCGTGTGAAGAAGCGCTCGTGGAGTCGTATATCGACAACTCATCTCGGTTCGGTGCGGTTCGGAAGAGATCTCACTTGTGTTTGTCTGTCTGCCACTGCAACTCAGGCAAGTTTCCTCTCTGCACTGTGACCATCGGCAGTGTAAGTAAAGCTTTCTTTATAAAACCAATATGCTTCCGTGCCTAACTCTACTCCGTCGTGGAAAAACCCCACCTGATGGTCCGGGCTACTGGCCATAGCCTCAGACTGACCCTCGGTCCCTACATGGCATCACGAACAGGATGCGGGAAAGACATAATGGAGTTAGAGTTAGTGAGAAACTGCCCTTGGCGCAGTGGAAAACGGCATGTACCAGACGCCGAAGAATTGGAGGCACATATCGCTTACCATCAGGAGGGCGGAACGGGTGAAAGGCCCATCAGTGGCTACTTTTCACTGAAGGGAGAAGAGAAGGAAGCACATCTTCACCCCAGAGCTTTCGGGTGTGTGATGGGTGGAGAATGGGTCCTGTTTAGATCCCGAGAGGAAGGGGGCACCGTATCCTCAGCCCGAGTAAAACCGGTGGGCGCCGTGGACCCGACCCTCGACCCAAAGTACACCCGCTGCCCACGATATGTGCAGGAGACGGAAGACCAGTTTACTCCCCAAGCAGTGTTGTCTAGATTAAGGAGCCGCGAGCTCCCATCCGATCTCCGTGAGAGTTTTGAGATGGAGGGACGTGCCGCAGCTGAAGGGGCAGGCCCGAGGTGCGACAGGGGAAGGATGTTGAGTGCAATGGTTCATGCTATGACAACTCTCACACGGGAAAACGCAAGTTTAAAAGCCCAGCTGCT